AATATATATATATATATACTAAATATATAGAAGAAGATATACTATATATAATGTTAGCTAAGTATAAATATAAATATATTTATATATTTATTATTATTTGCTGTGCTGTATATACACCCCACATAATTAACCTAAAATAAATAAAAAAAAAAATGTTAATTAATGGTTTAGGGTTTAGGGTTTATGAGGGTTTATGAGGGTTTAGGGTTTATATATAAATATATTTATTTATAGAGGGGTAACCTTAGGCAGGCCGCTGCTGCTGCTGCTGCTGCTGCTGCAGTGCAGCAGCAAGGGTCTAATTTGTGCATTACCTAGCATAGGTAATTGATCAAGACCTACAAGGAAATAAGAATGACCAACAAAGACAAAGGTAGCAGCATCTGCAGCACACAGCAGCAGCAGCAGCAATTGCTGCCTTTCCTCTACTTGTCTCCATGATTCAACTAATGATTCTTCTTGACCACCAGAAGCAGCACCAGCAGCACCAGCAGCACCAGCAGCAGCAGCAGCAGCAGCAGCATAACGACGCTGACGACGAGTAAAGGATTCTTTTGTATGTAAATACTTCTCTCCTTGCTGCAGCGTCAGCAGCAAATCTTTTTCTGCTGCAGATAGAGGGCTTGTCTTTGCCCCTCCTACAGTAAATACTTTTGCTGCTGCTGCTGCTGCTGTTGCTGCTGCTGCTCCTGTTGCTGCACCAGGAGCAACAGGAGCAATAGGATTGTTTATAGAGGATGTAGAGGCAGATGAATCAAAAGAATCCTCATCTATACCTCCTATTAGCTGCTGCTGCTGCATATCTGCTGCTGCTGCTGCTGCTTCTTCTTCTTCTTCTTCCTCATCTTCTTCTTCTCTTGCATGCAGATAACTCATTAGATAAGGATGCATAATTTGCGGGTAGTGCTGCTGCTGCTGCAGCAGCAGCAACTCCCTTAATTTATTCATACTTCTTAAGGAATAAGGTAACCACCATTTCTCCCCATCAGGCAGCAGCAGGAAACTATATGCTGCTGGCAGCATGCTGCGGTGTATCCACAGCTGCAGCAGACGACGACGAATTGCTGCTGCTGTTGCTGTCCCTACATCTGTTGTATTTGTTACTTTCTCTCTTAATAAAGGGTCAACTATCCATGTTACTTGCTGCTGCTGCTGCTGCTGCACAACGAGATGATGACTACCATGGCTATGGTGCCGTCTATGGGTCTTATACTGCTGCTGCTGCTGCTGCTGCTGCTGCTGCTGCTGCTGCTGCTGCTGCGAGCGAGGCTGCTTCCTTATTGGCCCCTGGCATCTTAAGGAATTGCCAACTTCATAGAAAGATAGACTGGCGGTTTGTATTGCGCGTAATAAAGGGGAGACAAGAAAGGCGTCTATACAGAAGAGGCCTGCTGCTGCTGCTGGTGCTGCTGCTGCTGCTGGTGCTGCTGCTGCTGCTGCTGGTGATGGTATTGGTGGTGATACTACTGTTCCTCTGTTTCCTGCTGATGATGATGTTGTATCCTCTGCTGCTGCATCAGGGAATTCATCAGGTAATCTGCTGCTGTGCTGCAGCTCAGTAAGAAGCTTATGCAGATACTGCAGCTCTGCTGCTGCTGCTGCACATTGCTGCTTACCTGCAGCAGATAATACAGGATCTGCATCTCCCCAATTCTTTCCTCTTACCTTATTCCCTGCAACACACACAAAACCCTAAACCCTAAACCCTAAACCCTAATCAGATACATAACTACCTTATTAATCATATACATGTTGCCTATTAACAACACTATTATTATACCTACATATATAGTATATTAATATATATATATA